TCTCTCCGTCTCATAACACAGCGTCTCTCATGATGGTAATCCGGCTGAAGCTTTTAATGATTTGCTCGGTGAAAAAGCCCATCAGGATCTGATGTAAACACTGAGTGATTGATCAAACTCTATAGCTGATATAGAGGAGTCTGTCTGTGTTTGTTCAGCCGTCTGCCGCTGTGCTGCTATTTCATCTGATGCTTATGAATTTATGATTGTGAAGAGCCTGCAAAGACGTCTGTAACAGATGCATGTATGATGGCTCATTGAGACGGTCACATGCACTTATTGCACTTCTACAGTCCCATATTCCCAATCGCAGTGATAAATGACTGTAATATAGCTGATGAATGATGACTGAGTCAATCAGCACTAGTATAGAGACACGAGCCGAAGATACAGACCAGAAGATCCAGAGATGTGAGGATGACTTTGATTTGAGGAGAGAAACACGCTGGAAATCACCTGGAGCATCCTGACATTATGATGGACGGTTCTGAACAACGGTTCTGTGTGAACTGTGGAAGATGTTTGTGTGTGTGTGTGTGTGTGTGTGTGTGTGTGTGTGTGTGTGTGTGTGTGTGTGTGTGTGTGTGTGTGTGAGTTTTTGCGACATATGAGGACACAGATTTGCATAATGACATGGGTATAACCGGTATTACAAGGAGAAGGTGACTTATGAGTTGTTGTTTTTTTCAAAATGCTTATAAATCATACAGAGTGAGTTTCTTTTGAGAAAGTAAAAATGCTCAAAGTTTTAGAGAGAGAGAGAGAGAGAGAGAGAGAGAGAGAGAGAGTATGTGTTCTATAGAGATCTGTATCTGTGTCCCAGGCATGAACTTGATCACAGCCCGATGTTTTGGCAGGACTTCAGCAAGCTCCATGTGAACTCTGGAGTCAAACTCTCTGGTTCAGGAGGGAAGGCAGCAGGAGTAATGAACAAAAGGAGTAAGATTTCACTGTGTGAGTGTGAGAGTGTGTGTGCTCCAGATGTTAACTGATGGACTGGAGTGCTGTGGATTACTTGTGGATTATTGTGATGTTTTTATCAGCTGTTTGTTTTGCTCTCATTCTGACGGCACCCATTCACTTACAGTGAGACACTGATGCAAAGCTACATGTCTCCAAATCTGATGAAGACACAAACTCATCCTAATGTCTGATGGCCTGAGGGTGAGCACATTTTCAGCACATTGTCATTTTTGGATGAACCGTTTCTTTAATGGCGCTCTGTATCTGAGCTCAGAGTAATAAAACTGTCCTCCGGCTACTGTTTGAGTTTGTATTTGGTGTGTCTAAACACAGCTGATGCAGTGGTGTGTCTCTTGGCCAGATGGAAAACCAAACAAACCTGCCTTAACAACCACCAAAACAAACACTCGTCAGGTTGACATGGTTTACTCAGGTCAAACCGCGCAATCGCTCAAATATATTAAGTTACCTTTACCTGCACTTACACGAGTGACGTGTTTTAGCATCAAAACAACCCCGGCGTCACGTGTTTTACATACTGATTACACACAGTACATCACAATGTTTTAAGAGTTTAATTTCACAATGTGATTGTTGGTACATTGCATATAAAATCCCCATGCATTTGGATTAGACCCTTTTAACAAACTAATAATCTTAATGTAATGCATATTTTTCAGTCATACATAAATCAAACAGAAACAGATTTCTGTAATAGTACTAATAAACTGAATGTGTTTTAAATATAGCCAGGTTTATATATTTATCATCAGTAAATCCAGTTCCTCTTCAGGAACTCGAGCTGCGTCGGAAAACGCTAGGGGAACGCCTTCTGTGACCACGCTCTGAATAACATGTGAAATCAGTCCAATAGCTGAGCGGGACGTTACGGGCGGGTGACGTCATGACCAGGAAGCTATAAAAGCACGTGCGGCGGAGCCAGCGTCAGCCTCAGGATCGCACATGATCTAGCAGACGGGTTGGAGACGGCTCTTATCTCCACCCGTGTTCGCTAGATCTAGAGCTTGTTCTCGAGGCTCGGAAGCCCGCGCTGCGGTTCTTTCCCCCTCTGAGCCTACCAATACTGGTTCTTCCTTAGGCCTTGCACTCTCACTCCACACTTTCACGACTCAACCACATCGACGATTGGTTGATATTAGCTCAGTCAGAGCTGATGGCGGTTCGACATCGATATGTCATTCTCGCTCACATGAAAGAGCTAGGGTTAAGACTTAACGCCAAGAACTGCCGTTTGGTACAGTTCTGGAGTTCCTGCAGGCCTGTTTATCCGCAGGGTTGACCCACTCCACCCTACAGATCTTCGTGGCAGCCATTGCGGCCTACCACGCCCTTCTCGGTGGCCATTCAGTGGGAAGACACCCTCTTCTTACACGTTTCCTCTGCGGTGCGCTGAGGCCGAGGCCTCCGGCCAGAGAATCTTATGCTAAGTGGTGGATCAGGATGCTATTCCATAGCCTCGAGTCCTCTGATCTCCCCTCTCCTTTGGTGGTGAAGATTCACTCCTCCAGAAGTTGGCCTTCGGGTTGGCGGGCCCCGCCTACTTCTCTCGCCCTAGCTGTGCAGTTTATAGCTTCCTCGTCATGACGTCACCCGCCCGTGACGTCCCGCTCAGCTATTGGACTGATTTCACATGTTATTCAGAGCGTGGTCACAGAAGGCGTTCCCCTAGCGTCTTCCGACGCAGCGTCTCGTTCCCTCGAGGAACCAGGGTTACATACGTAACCTGAGACGTTTTTTTTTTTCAATTGCATATATTTTAATTAATTGAACATTGCTTGTTCCACAGCTAGTCGTATTTTAACCATGTTTATAAATGTAATTTTTTCACAATGATGTTGATTCTAAGCTGCTTGAATAAGTGCATTTTTATTTTTATTTTAAATACGATCAAATAAATGTAAATAGTTAATTATTATTCATATTTATTGATTAATTAATCAAGTTAGAGTGCAGAAATCTGACCCGTTTTGTTTATATATGACTGAAAAAATATATAAATACTCTGTAATCCAATCATTATTATTATATTTAATATGAATAAATTACAAATTGATAAAAATCATTTATATTCATAATTATAAATTAATTAATAAATAGATAGATTTAATTGAGGGTGAGTACATTTTCAGGAAATTTTCATTTTTTGGGTGAACTGTTCCTTTAAGATTCATTAACTCTTTCAGTCTTAAAAAAAAAAAAAACACTTTACAAAAGTGGGTTTTACTGATGTATTTTATGTCTTAGAATAAACTTTTGATCCAGCCATTGAACCAAAAACCATTGCGACTTCATCATCTATTAGAGACAGTCTCATTTGTAAATTTTCTTCCTGTTGAGAAAGAAATCGTGATCTATATCCTGCAAAAAGGCAGATAATGAGAAAACCTTCCTCATGTCTTTTCACATGACACTGACATGACACGCTGCAGTACTTTACATGGGAAAAGAAATCTATCTATATACTAATGTCAGAACATCTACAACAAGAACTCTGGTGCTTTTTCCCCCATTGCAAAGCTGCCTTTTCTACTCTATTACTGTATATGACTAGAAAAACCCTGTTTTGAAGTTGGTTTCCTAAGAAAAACAGCTCCTGTAGTAGTTTTTCCGGTGAAGTGAAATCACCCAGCTCTCAGATGAAGTCTTAGTTTTAGAGTAAAACATCATATGATGAATTCACAGCAGATAAACCACAAACACTACAGCTGTGGGAATTTCCCATCCACGTGTGAGAATACAGCACAGCAGGGCCGGACCAAAACAAACGCTCTGATTGGCCGCAAGTCACATGATTGACAGTCTTAAAGGCACAGGCGCAGAATCTTCCTGAATGATACAACACAGTATGCCAGGAATGCAGATATTCTCAGTCAATCCAACTATTTGTGCTATTCATCTGCAATATCTTTTGGAAGTTTTATTGAATTTATAGTAAAAATAAGCCTTACAGTTTGTACATTAAAGATTATGAATTGAGGATATAAAAGCTTCGGTCAGTAAAGTAATTAAACAGGCCATTTGTGAAAAACGCATGACAAAAGCACAGTCTTACAGTGAGTTAAGTGTGTGTTTTAACGCCGCTTGTCTAAAATAACACCTTCGTGTCAGCTTGTTAAATTAAGCAATACTCCAATTCATGAGTAAATTAACTTGCTAATCTGCATAACACATTGTTTGACTCATCATGCACAAGAAAAAACATTTCTGCTTTGATTATATTCTCTTGATGTCTTTATATGTCTGGAGAAGAGAATATAATGCTTAATGATGTCTTGTTGAAATTTTCAGCATTGAATTGTGCATTCAGATATTTTTGTATTATTACAGTGAAGTGTATAATTGATGTCACATATTAAATCCTTTACACTCAAATTAACTTTTCCTGTACTTATTTTATTTTTAAGTACCAGTGCAAGCAAGCAATAAATAAATAAATAAAACCTTCAGGGTGGAAAAAAATACTAATACTAATACTAATACTAATACTAATACTAATAACAATAATAATACTAATAAATGAAAAAGAAAAAAATCAATTACTCTGATCACTGTCATTAATTATTTAATTATTATTAAATTTTTGTTTAATTATAAAGACTGGCAAACTGTACATTTACATTTATTTTATTTATTTATTTATTATTTTATTTTATTTTTATTATTATTTATTTTTATTTTGTTTATTTTATTTTATTTTTGTTAAGTACCAGTGCAATTAAGCAATAAATAAATAAATAAAACTTCAGGGTGAAAATAAAATAAAATAAAATAAAATAAAATAAAATACTACTACTACTACTAATAATAATAATAAATACAAAATAAAAAATCAGTTTCCCTGATCACTGTCATTAATTATTTAATTATTATTTAATTTTTTTTAATGATGTGAGCGTGTTTGTGTGTGTGTGTGTGTGTGTGTTTACACACAGTGCGTGACGTCAGCGCGGAGGCGGGGCCTCGCCGCTGGAACACGAGACGAGCTCGACGCCGACAGCAGACGAAGCGAGCCGACGCGGAGTGCGCACCGCACGAGCGAGCAGCTGATATTTCTAAACTTCACTTCACTTAAACGTTATTTATCGCGGTGGAAAAGAGACAAACACACAGGTAAGACGCGTTTACTCATCATGCAGTTCGTCAAAAGGAGGTACGGTGAGGGAAATGCCATAGTATTTGTTTTATTATTAATAAATCAGAGAGTGTAAATACAGTATTGTGTGTTGTTGTTGAATGTGTTTGTGTAGACACTCGTGTTTATTGAGAATATTTATTGTGAGCTGTCATATTAAAGTGTTTGTTATATAAACAAAACTTCATTTAGCTTTAAAAAAATCACTGAAGCTGTTGTTGTTGTATAAACCGGCACACTGATGGTGTTTCAAAACCTAGTGAGCTGCCTACATAGACAGCAGCGTGTGTGGCCGCTCAGATCTACAGTCAGGTTTAACACAAGTCTATGAGGACCAAAACTGCTGCTGTCTAGGAAGACAGACTTTAGGATTTGAGACACAGCCCTTGTAATTCTCATAGTACATTTAGAAAATCACATCTCAAATCTGATTTGTATTAATAATGACTGTCTAAACTGCTGGAGACAAGTGTCATAAACACTTTATTATCCCTGTCAGTGTGTTTTATTGGTATTCTCTGTGATTTCTAATGTCTAACTGTTTATGATAAGATAACATAATGCTGTTGTTTAACTACTGAAATGCCATTATGAGAACTATAATATATCACGAGAACAGTAAATGTGGATGGTGATGATGGAAAGATGAAGAACTGAACATCTAAACACTGGTTATAGTCACTCATTTCTCATTTCTGTTGGACTTTAGTTTGTTTTCATCAAGAAGTCATGCAGTTATTGAGACAGGGCAGTTTATAGCCAAGCTGTGCTGGATAGTGTGTGAGTGTTTTGTGGTGTTCGGGCTGGTTTGTGTGTCTTGGGTGTGTGTGTTTCCTCACTGGGTCAGTAGTGCTACAGAAGCTCTATGGGAGGCGTCAGCACAAAACAAATCACTCCACCGCCACTGCCACCGTTAGACGCCTTCAGGTCAAAGTTTATCGGCCAAGTTTGATTGCTCTTATGATAATGCGTCTTAAATACACCATACAGTACAATGGAGTACACTACAAATAAAACACAGCATGCAAAACAATTATGCATTTATAAATGTATTTATTGTTGCATTTATGTTTTTATGCATGCATTTATACATGCATTTATTTATGTTTTATGCATGCATTTGTACATGCATTTATTTATGTTTTTATGCATGCATTTATACATGCATTTATTTACGTTTTTATGCATGCATTTGTACATGCATTTATTTATGCATTCATACATGCATTAATGTATGTTTTTATGAATGCATTTATTTATGTTTTTATGCATGCATTTATACATGCATTTATGCATGCATTTATTTCCTTTTGCATGCACTGGATAATACATTATTGAAGAGTAAATAAGCATTTTTTGAGAGTCTCTTTTGGGTTAGTTTTGGTGACATTGTTGGAGTTTAGTTTTATTGAAGAGGTCAGATGGAGTTGAATTCGCAGGGCCAGGGTGATTTTGGACTGATTCCACCCGGTGCTCATGAATGGACTGTCGTTTGTGTGTTTGTGTGTGTGTCTGCAGCGGTAGAGGGAGCTAAGTGTTGCTCTGCTTTTTGCAGCGTCATTTTTACACTCATTGAGGAAATCAGATGTGATTGTCTGCTGTGTGTGACACGTGTTTCTGTACATAAACACACACACACGCAACACTGGATGTCCACACGCACCTCTGAATGCCACACTTCCGATTAATGAGATACATATGGCCTGAGAGAAAGCTGAGAAATACTCATAAGTGACATGAAGGGTTTATTGGAAACCTGAAGAGAAACTTTTGAAGAGTATGTGATAGTTTACTGGAAGAGTTCGACAAAGAAGATTGTACTAGGTTGCTAACTGGCTGAAAGAAAAGACTGGGTTGACAGAAATAAATAGGAAATGATGTTTGCATAAACCATGAAGCTTCTTTTTAGGACCTTTTTTGTTTTTGTTTTTTGCATTTCTCATTTTTTAAATGACAACTGAAACAGATTTTCTTGTCATTACCATAATGCAAAAAAAAAAAAACATTAAGTTTTAATTATTGTAATGTAATTTAAACTTAAACTTAAAAAAACATATGTATATATAAATAAAAATTAAGGTAACTGACAATATAAAAGCTTAATTTATATATATATATATATATATATATATATTTATATTTGATTGTGTGTGTGTGTGTGTGTGTTTGTGTGTGTGTTACTGACAGTTTGTGGTATAAATGTGTATTATATTCACTCTAAAAAATTATTACAGAAAATCTTAATGGTACTAAAAGTAATCATAATTTAAATAATGATGATAAAATATTTTTTCTCTTTTAATTTGGGTAGAAATGGGGTTCTTTGGTGCTGTTTATTTATTTATTTTTTTAGGGTTCAAGAGATTCACCCATCTGTATATTGTGAAAGTGAACAGAAAATGGATGCACACATAATGGTGTTTGAGCACCAGTGAGGTGAAACATAAGAGTTTATAATAATAATACAGTGATCTGCGGCTTTGTTTATTTTCAGCATCCCACCCTAATGTGGCTTCAACACTGACTGGACAAACATCATGAGCTCCTGACTCTCAGAGCCGGCGTTTTTCACCAATCCTAAAGCTTCACCGCAGAACATGCAAAGTGTAGGCGAGACGGTTTCTGTCTTTGCCTCGCCAAACCTCGTCCAGGTTAAATATAGCAAACCAGCCGTCTAACCGCAGCCGAGCACGTGGTTTCATCACTGCTATTTATCTAAATCAGTTCGGCCAGTGACCACAAGAGACACTAATCTTTAGTCTAATTATCCTGTTGTTAACGGGCCATAATCGGACGGCTGGTTGGGCCGAAACACTCCGTTATTACTCTGAGATGTCATTTGTGTGAGTCTGAGTGTGTATTCACACATCTTTTGTGTGCTGTTTAATGGGTTTTTCATTGGCCGATGCTCTTAATGACTGGTTTTACTTCAGATTTTACATTGAACATCAAGTGTTGACGTACAGAAGTCCTAGATTTTATTTATATCAACATGAACTGCATAATCCCACCTAAATGCAAAATGATCACCATGACAGAAGCTGAAAAGCAAGATAAGCATCAGAAGCTTTACTCGTGAATCTGTATTCAATGCAACAGGTTGTGTTTGATTTGCGTTGAATTTTGAAACATGCTAGCATGAACAGAGTTAAACGAAGAAGACTAGTTTGTAAACTGGGTGAAGCTCACAAAGAAAGACCTTGGTTGGAAATCATGAAAGGAATAGGAAATTATATTTTGCATAAACAATGAAGCCTATATTTAGGACTATATTAATTTGTATTATTAATTTTTTTTTTTACATGACAATTTCAGCATAATTTCAGCTAAAATTCTCATTACCATAATGCAAAAAAAAATCCCATGCTCAGTCATTTAAAATGAAAATGAGCATAAATGACTAAAATCCATATGTCCATAATGTATAAATATTTTTAAAGTTATTTAAATAACATATTTACACTATATATTTTTAATGAACATATATTTTCTGTATGTATGTATATATATATGTGTGTGTGTGTGTAAAATATAATGTAAATAAGGTATATATTATATAATTAAATATATTATACAAAGGTGTATATTATATATATTATATA